GAGTTGGAGGAGCATGTGAGAGTAGTGTGGAGTTGGAGGAGCATGTGGAGTTGGAGGAGTATGGGGAGTTGGAGGAGAAATGTGGAGTTGGAGGAGTATGTGGAGTTTGGAGGAGTATGTTGGAGTTGGAGGACATGTGGAGTTGGAAGGAGTATGTGAAGTTGGAGGAGCATGTGGAGTTGGAGGAGTAGTGGAGTTGGAGGAGTATGTATGTGGAGTTGGAGGAGTATGGATGGAAGTTGTGGAGAGAGTATGTGGATGTGGAGTTGGAGGAGTATGTGGAGTTGGAGGAGTATGTGGAGTTGGAGGAGTATGTGGAGTTGGAGGAGTATGTGGAGTATGTGGAGTATTGGGAGTTGGAGGTATGTGGAGTTGGAGATGTAGAGTTGGAGGAGCATTGTGGAGTTGGAGGAGTATGTGGAGTTGGAGAAGCATGTGGAGTTGGAGGAGTATGTGGAGTTGTGAGGAGTGGGAGGTGTGGAGTTGGAAGGAGCATAGGATTGGAGAGCATGTGGAGTTGGAGGAGTATGTGGAGTTGGAGGAGCATGTGGAGTTGGAGGAGTATGTGGAGTTGGAGGAGCATGTGGAGTTGGAGAGAGTTGGAGTTGGAGGAGCATTGGAGTTGGAGGAGTATGTGGAGTTGGAGGAGTATGTGGAGTTGGGAGAAAGTAGTAGTAGTATGTGGAGTTGGAGGATGTATATGCGGAGGTGTGGAGTTGGAGTAGCATGTGGAGTTGGAGGAGTATTGTTGGGGTTATGTGAGGAGGAGTATGAGGAGTTGGAGGAGTATGTGGAGTTGGAGGAGCATGTGGAGTTGGAGGAGTATGTGGAATTGGAGGAGTATGTGGAGTTGGAGGAGCATGTGGAGTTGGAGGAGTATGTGGAGTTGGAGCAAGAGATGTGGAGTTGGAGGAGTATGTGGAGTTGGAGGAATGTTGGAGTATGGAGGAGTATGTGGAGTTGGAGGAGGAGCATGTGGAGTGGAGGAGTATGTGGAGTTGGAGGAGTTGTGGAGTGGAGGAGTATGGGAGTGGAGAGCATGTGGAGTTGGAGGAGTATGTGTGGAGGAGCATGTGGAGAGGAGTATGTGGAGTTGGAGAGTTGGAGAGTATGTAGTTGAGGAGTGTGGAGTTGGAGGAGTATGTGGAGTTGGAGGAGTTGTAGTTGGAGGAGTATGAGGAGTTGGAGGAGCATGTGGAGTGGAGAGCATGTGGAGTTGGAGGAGTATGTGGAATTGGAGGAGTATGTGGAGTTGGAGGAGCATGTGGAGTTGGAGGAGCATTTGGAGTTGGAGGAGCATGTGGAGTTGGAGGGAGTATGTGAGTTGGAGGAGTATGTGGAATTGGAAGGAGTATGTGGAGTTGGAGGGAGCATGTGGAGTTGGAGGAGCATGTGGAGTAGGAGTATGTGGAGTTGGAGGAGGTATGTGGAGTTGGAGGAGTATGGAGTTGGAGGGTATGTGGAGTTGGAGGAGTATGTGGAGTTGGAGGAGGAGCATGTGGAGTTTGGAGGAGTATGTGGAGTTTGAGCAGTTGGAGGAGCATGTGGAGTTGGAGAGTATGTGGAGTTGGAGGAGATGTGGAGTTGGAGGAGTATGTGGGAGTTGGAGGAGTATGTGGAGTTGGAGGAGTATGTGGGAGTAGGAGTATAGTGAGTTGGAGGAGTCATGTGGAGTTGGAGGAGCATGTGTGAGGGAGGAGTATGTGGATTTGGAGGAGTATGTGAGGAGGAGTATGTGGAGTTGGAGGAGTATGTGGGATTGGAGGAGTATGTAGAGTTGGAGGAGCATGTGGAGTTGGAGGAGTGGTGGAGTTGGAGGAGTATGTGGAGTTGGAGGAGCATGTGGAGTTGGAGGAGTATGTGGAAGTTGGAGAGCATGTGGAGTTGGAGGAGTATGTGGATGGAGGAGTATGTGGAGTTGGAGTTGGAGAGTCTGTGGATTGGAGGAGTATTGGAGTTGGAAGTAGTAAGAGTATGTGGAAGGAGCATGTGAGTTGGAGGAGCATGTGGAGTTGGAGGAGATGTGGAGTTGGAGGAGTATGTGGAGTTGGAGGATGTGAGTTGGTGTGAGTTGGAGGAGCATGTGAGTTGGAGGAGTATGTGGAGTTGGAGTATGTGAGTTGAGGAGTATGTGGAGTGAGGAGCATGTGGAGTTGGAGGAGTATGTGGAGTTGGAGGAGTATGTGGAGTATGTGGAGTTGGAGAGGAGCATGTGGAGTTGAGGAGTATGTGGAGTTGGAGGAGGTGGAGCAGAGTATGTGGAGTTGGAGTGAGCATGTGGAGTTGGGAGGAGTGTGAGTTGGAGGAGTATGTGGAGTTGGAGGAGCATGTGGAGTGTAGTTGGAGTAAGGAGTTGGAGTATGTGAGGATTGTAGTTGGAGTGTGGAGTTGGAGGAGTATGTGGAGTTGGAGACTGTTTGGAGAGAGCATGTGGAGTTGGAGGAGTATGTGGGGGTATGTTGGGCGTATGTGGACCATCGGAAATGCGTTCAATTTCTTC